GGAGGGTAAGCCCTAAACCCTAAACCCTAAACCCTAAACCCTAAACCTTAACCCTAAACCCTGAACCCTGAACCCTGAACCCTAAACCCTAAACCCTAAACCCTAAGCTTTGCCTAGGAACCCAGCATGTTACAGCGAGGCTACCCCGTGTGTCTGCTGGCTACCGTTTCTGCAGAGCTCATGCACTGGCGCTGAAGGTCCTTCAACCCTTGTAAGGAAGCCAAAAGCCCTGAAGAACCCGCACGTAGACAGAGTAGCAATAACTTAAGAATACTACCAGCAGTTGTAGTAAATAGTGATATTGGTGCGTAAGAACATAGCTGTGTAGTTGTCGTAGTAGCTCATGTCAGGCGCCCGGCTACGACCCCAAACTGAAGCAAAACCCTAAACTTCCCAGGAGCCACACTCTTCCCTAAACCCTAAACATCCTAAACCCTCAGCGCAAAAACAACTCGATAAAACCTATAAACCCAAAATAATCTCAACCCCTAAACCCTAAACCCTCAACCCTAAACCTCTCAACCCTGGATCCTGTAATCCCTGAACCCTAAGCCCCCAAACTCTATAGAGCTGCTGTTTCGGGTTTAGGGTTCAGGACTTAAAGTTTACCCTAAACCCTGATCCCTAAGCCGGAATTCCCTAATCCCTAAACCATACACCCTAAACATCCCTAAACCCTAAACCCTAAACCCTAAACCCAAACCCTTGAGGCCAAGGGCGCCTCGAAGTCGCGCGGGTCGATGACCAAAGTCTGCGGGGAGGGCTTCGCATGGAACAGGTGCAGGGTGTAGGATTTAGGGTGTAGGGTTCAGGGTTTAGGGTTTGGGGTTTAGGGACTTTATGGTATACTTGGAGGTTCGTCTGGGTACTTTTAAGTAGCGTTCGAGGTAGGGCAGCTCTGGTTGTACCCGTATTTTGTAACCCTGCTTTCGGGTTTCGGGGTTAATTCTAGGGGGTCTAGGTTTTAGGGCTTACAGGTTCTTACTGTTTACGCAGCGTCAAACCTTCAACCCTCAACCCTCAACCCTCAACCCTAAACCCCACACCCTAAACCCTAAACCGCCGCAACCCAGTCGCTGTCTGAGCCTTGGGAACCCTCTGCGCCCCGCACCTCAACCCTGAAATGCTGAACCTCGAAATATTCAACATACCCCGAAGGCTCCAAATATCCCAAACTTTAGACCCCAAAGTAGGTACCATTCATATATTTGGAGCCCTAGGGTACCCCTTGGGCATACCCCTTAACAGAAATTTAAGGGGGATGGCTCCCTTGTCATTTCCTTTTATAGGTTAAGGGGTATGGGTTTGGGGTGTGGTGATTCATTCTTAGATTACGAATCGTAAAGTTGGGGTCATATAGTATACCCTATACTGCCTATACTACCGAAAACTCGTAGTACTTCGTCTGAACCATAGACCCTTTTAGGGTTCATGTGGTCCTCAAGGTTAGGGTTTAGTATGCTGTTTCGGGCCGATGTCTGAACCAGCGACGTTCCCAAGGGTTTCGGCTTTACGGCGCCGCAAGTGCTCGACCCTCAACCCTGAACCCTACTGTAAACCCAAAAGCCTGCATACCCTATGACACCTCCCAAGGCTCCCAAACTTTGAACGGCTCCCATGCGCACACCAACGGAACCCCAACCCCCCCCCCCCCCCAAAAAAAAAAAAAAAACAAAAAAAAATCAAAAACCGCAAAACCCTAAGAACCGAAAACCCGAAACCCCAAAACCCTAAACACTAAACCCCGAAACCCCAAACCCGCAAACCCCAAAACCACGGCACCTGGCACGTGGGGTCATGAGCCAACTTGGCCGTCATCCGCGCCCGACTTCGTGCGGGTTTTCGTGCTTTCAGGGGTTTTTGGGCCCCTGGGGCTGATCTAGGGTTTACGGTTTAGGGTTTGAATGGGCATGTTGGGTAGTTATAAGGGTTTGGGTTTCGCTTACGGTTTAGGGCATAGGCAACCCAATGGGTACTAGAACCCTTCAGGACACTAGGGTACGTGTTGATAGGGGGTTATTGGCGGAGGGATGCGCTGACTAATTCTCGAGGCGCGTGATTATGAGTCTCTGCCCATACTGTGTGGAGTATGGTTTGACTATACTTTCTTCATTTTCATCCGCAGTAATATTTTGTTAAACTACGAATATTGCAACAGCTGTTACATCTACGACTCTGGGTTCAGGGTTCAGGGTTCAGGGTTTAGGGTTTAGGGTTTATAGGCTTTAGGGTTTAGGGTTTAGGGTTGAGCGCTGTTGCATCTACGACTCTTATTCTGGGCACTTGCAGACCCGCTTTGACGGAAAGCTGCGGATGAGTCGCGGTGGAGGTTCGACTTTGCGGTGCCGCCTGGACTTCCCAAGCCTGAAACCCTTTTAGGGTTGAGGGTTTAGGTTTAGGGTTTAGAGGGGCAGAGGGTTAGAGGGTTAGAGGGTTTAGGGTTGAGGGTTAAAAATTGAGGGTTTATAGGGTGTAGGGTTTACGGTTTAAAGGCCAGAAAACCCCCATATAGCACATACTTGGGCCTTCAGGGGCTTCCTATAATACAGTAGCTCTAGGGCCCAAATATGCACAATGTGGTTACATGGGCCCCCAGGGTTGGTAGCCCAGTAACCATATGACAATAAGGGTTAAGGGTTAAGGGTTAAGGGTTTAGGGTTTAGGGCTTCTTTTGGGTTGGTTACTTTGTAAGGGAACCCAGAACACAAATTCAGAAGTACCACTGGGGTACAAAAGCTTCGACCTTGACATGGCATGAGAGCCCTAAACCCTAAACCCTAAACCCTAAACGCTAAACGCTAAACGCTAAACGCTAAACCCTAAACCCTAAACCCTAATCCTACCATTCACATAGATCGCCTTTTGTACACTTGGGCATGGCTCTGGGATCGCCCTTAATAATGAAGCACTTCGAAAATAGGGGGTTTAGGGTTTAGGGTTTAGGGTTAGGGTTTAGGGTTTAGGGGTTGCTACATATGATCCTCTTAAACCCAGTTGGGGAAAATCATGGAATGTCACACGGGCCTACCTAGAGACGTATGGTGAGAAGGTGAGACACCCCGCTTCGCGGGGATCGCGGAAATGATCTATTAGGTGATGAAGAAACTTGAAGAACTCGGAAGAACTCTCCATGAAAGCCATGCATATCCACTCCTTCGGCAGCCCTGAGCCCACCCAGCTGCTTCGACAGCTTTGCAAATCCCAGAGCCCCCTCCCGCCCCCCCCCCCCGGGGTTTCGGTTTCGGGTTTAGGGTTTACGGTTTAGGGTTAGGGGCTAGGGCTTTGGGCCGCTCTATGACACAGTCACCTGGGCACCAGGCGCTCCAATGTTGAAGCAAACGCAGAAGGGTTGGTCCTTCACTCGCGGGCAATGGTAATGTGTCCAGCAGCAACAGCAAGTGGTCAAGCCCAGGCAATTGTGAAAGCCTTCTCCTTGCTCAGAAGGAGTCCGACAGGAACAAGGGAAAATGTGTAGTTCTCCAAATTAGGATCTAGGTGCTCGGCTGTGAATATATACATATATATATATATATACATCTAGATATGCTAATTTAGAGCACCCCCCCCCATTTGTGTTCG